CCCCAGTTGAAGGACGGCCGGTTTACTTGATCATTTTTCTCTGAAACATTCAAAACCCCTTTCCATGCGATTAAAGGTAACGCCAAAAACTACGTTGCAGTATCTCTTCCGCCCTCCTACAATTAAATGCCGTGGATGCCGAGGAAATAAATCCTCAGGGGGTCCAGCCTACGGCCCCTCGGCTCTCAGACCAAAGGCATCCCAACCCCTCAGAGCCACAGTCCTGTCAGAGTCTCTTTGACCTACGAGATCCCAACTTCCAGAAAGAACTTTTTGTACTTTGAGTGTCCGGGGAGTCGCATTCAGCCCTTAATCCTATCTTAAAACACCAAACTAGTTTAAGCCCCACGCGCCGCAAACCTCCCAGCAATTGCAAACCTACTTCAGATCCTGTCCTTTTCACTGCAGTGGCAAAACTCCGGCTTAGCCCCCACCACATCCGACCGGGTGGGCGGAGCCAACATCGCCCTCCCAGAGCCTCTCCCTTTCGCCTCCACTCCAGTTGCCTCCGGAGAATCCTAGAAGAGTCTGGAGAGTTCAGGCTGGGGCGGCAGCCGCGGTGATGATTGGTCCCGGACGGCCTGGGGGCCGGACGCGAGGAGAAACTCCTGGAACGTTCCGGATCCCGCAGCCCCGCTGGGCTCCGTGATTGGCTGTGGAGGGGAAAGGAGGGGCTCGGTGAGGATTTATAAACACGGCGGCGAGGACTCGGGACTAACAGCCAAACCGAGGACTGGCTCAGCGCCCCTGACCCCATCCAGTGGACCTGACCGCGCCGACCCACTGCCTCCCAGCGCGAATCCCGCGGCGTCGACCCCGCGCTTCCCGACTTCCGAAGGCTCCAACCCCTCTCTGCCTCCAGCGCCAACTCCCGACTTCCGAAGGCTCCAACCCTTCTCTGCCTCCAGCGCCAACTCCCGACTTCCGAAGGCTCCGACCCTTCTCTGCCTCCAGCGCCAACTCCCGACTTCCGAAGGCTCCGACCCTTCTCTGCCTCCAGCGCCAACTCCGCGGCGTCCACTCTCGCTTTCCGGCTTGCGAAGCCTCGGAGCTCCGCGTCCGCATCCCGCTCCCGCCGACTCGAGACCCGAGCGACCGCGCAACGCCGAGCGACCGCGCAGGTAACGGCATGGCTAAGGGCACGGCCATCGGCATCGACCTGGGCACCACCTACTCGTGTGTGGGCGTGTTCCAGCACGGCAAGGTGGAGATCATCGCCAACGACCAGGGCAACCGCACCACCCCCAGCTACGTGGCCTTCACCGACACGGAGCGGCTGATCGGCGACGCGGCCAAGAACCAGGTGGCGCTGAACCCGCAGAACACCGTGTTCGACGCGAAGCGGCTGATCGGCCGCAAGTTCAGCGACGCGGTGGTGCAGTCGGACATGAAGCACTGGCCGTTCCAGGTGGTGAGCGACGGCGACAAGCCCAAGGTGCAGGTGAGCTACAAGGGTGAGAGCAAGGCGTTCTTCCCCGAGGAGATCTCGTCCATGGTGCTGACCAAGATGAAGGAGGTCGCCGAGGCGTACCTGGGCTGCCCGGTGACCAACGCGGTGATCACGGTGCCCGCCTACTTCAACGACTCGCAGCGCCAGGCCACCAAGGACGCGGGCGTGATCGCGGGGCTGAACGTGCTGCGCATCATCAACGAGCCCACGGCGGCGGCCATCGCCTACGGCCTGGACCGCTCGGGCAAGGGCGAGCGCAACGTGCTCATCTTCGACCTGGGCGGGGGCACCTTCGACGTGTCCATCCTGACGATCGACGACGGCATCTTCGAGGTGAAGGCCACCGCGGGCGACACGCACCTGGGCGGGGAGGACTTCGACAACAGGCTGGTGAACCACTTCGTGGAGGAGTTCAAGAGGAAGCACAAGAAGGACATCAGCCAGAACAAGCGCGCCGTGAGGCGGCTGCGCACGGCCTGCGAGAGGGCCAAGCGCACCCTGTCGTCCAGCACGCAGGCCAGCCTGGAGATCGACTCGCTGTTCGAGGGCATCGACTTCTACACGTCCATCACCAGGGCGCGCTTCGAGGAGCTGTGCTCTGACCTGTTCCGCGGCACGCTGGAGCCCGTGGAGAAGGCCCTGCGAGACGCCAAGCTGGACAAGTCCCAGATCCACGACCTGGTGCTGGTGGGGGGCTCCACCCGCATCCCCAAGGTGCAGAAGCTGCTGCAGGACTTCTTCAACGGGCGCGACCTCAACAAGAGCATCAACCCCGACGAGGCGGTGGCCTACGGGGCGGCGGTGCAGGCGGCCATCCTGATGGGGGACAAGTCTGAGAAGGTGCAGGACCTGCTGCTGCTGGACGTGGCTCCGCTGTCGCTGGGGCTGGAGACGGCCGGGGGCGTGATGACGGCGCTGATCAAGCGCAACTCCACCATCCCCACGAAGCAGACGCAAGTCTTCACCACCTACTCGGACAACCAGCCCGGGGTGCTGATCCAGGTGTACGAGGGCGAGCGGGCCATGACCCGGGACAACAACCTGCTGGGGCGCTTCGAGCTGAGCGGCATCCCGCCGGCCCCCAGGGGCGTGCCCCAGATCGAGGTGACCTTCGACATCGACGCCAACGGCATCCTCAACGTCACAGCCACGGACAAGAGCACGGGCAAGGCCAACAAGATCACCATCACCAACGACAAGGGCCGCCTGAGCAAGGAGGAGATCGAGCGCATGGTGCAGGAGGCGGAGAAGTACAAGGCCGAGGACGAGGTGCAGCGCGAGCGGGTGGCGGCCAAGAACGCGCTGGAGTCCTACGCCTTCAACATGAAGAGCGCCGTGGAGGACGACGGGCTCAAGGGCAAGATCAGCGAGGGCGACAAGAAGAAGGTGCTGGACAAGTGCCAGGAGGTGATTTCCTGGCTGGACGCCAACTCGCTGGCCGACAAGGATGAGTTTGAGCACAAGAGGAAGGAGCTGGAGCAGGTGTGTAACCCCATCATCAGTGGACTGTACCAGGGTGCGGGTGGCCCCGGTGCCGGTGGCTTTGGGGCGCAGACCCCCAAGGGGTCTTCTGGGTCTGGCCCCACCATTGAGGAGGTGGATTAATGGCCATCAGTTCCTTTCTGTATAGTCTTTTTTGCCACAGAGGAGCCTCAAGGACTTGCTATATCGTTATATTTTTCGTGTTGTGTATTTCTTTTCATTTTAATCTAAAGTTAGGTTGTAATCTTATCTTGGACTTGATTGTCTTTATTGTTTCAGTGTTATATAACCAGTGTGTTCATTTGAATTTCTGCATTTAACTTAAGTTGGTACTGTCAGGTTCTTTCCTGGCTCTATGTCCACAAATGACTCAATACTGCCACCCTCTGTCCTACTTTTTCTTTGTAAACACACCAACAATCCTGTATTTTTATTATTTGTAAAATGAAAATGAAAAATAAAATGTTAAAAGTATGTGTCTACTTATATTTATTTGATGAGGGATAATGAACTCTTGAATGGCTGAGTTCCATACAGTGAAAGAGAGAAGGGAGTCTTTTTTTCCCCCACCTTTGTAAAAGATACATTTATCTATGCACATAGAATCTGGGGTACAGGCCAGAGGTGGGGGGAAGGTGAAAGGATTCACCAGAGGTATAGTGGGGAGCAGAATAGGCAGACCAACGAAGACCTTCCGAGGGGAGCAGCGGGGAGACAGTAGAGGTCTGCTGTGCCATGTTATCACCTCCTGGGCTGAGATCAAACTGGCACTGAACTAGCTGCAGCTGGCTTGCAGTGCTGGTCCTTACCCTGTGTACTACCATCGAGGGCCGGAGAGGGACAATCTTCTGAAGATAGATGCAAATCTTAGCCAAGGCGTGGCTAGTTTTCACCGGGACATATTGGTAGGTGGAAAATGACATCTGGGCTAGCAAACAAAAATTCCTGATGCTCATTTTAGTGGTGGTGGGACTTGTTTTAGGGTCTCAGGGATGGCAGCTGCAGAAGGGTTCAGGGGATTTTTGGTGTTGCTGAGAGGGGATTCATGTTTTTTCAATCTCCTGCACTTCATGCATGCAGAGCCTTTGAACTTTTTATTGCACTTTTGACTTGAGTCCTTCTAGTCTTTTATTTAGGTTGTAAGTAAACAAGGGTGCAAACCCAGCAAAAATAAGATGCAGGTTCACACACTGGTTTTGTAAATCCCAGTTGAGTGACAAAGGACAAAATATTTAGCATCTCTTAGATGTGGTTGGTTGTCACCTTTTAAATGAGAGCATTTTGTCTGCGTGGCCTCACTTTCAAAGCTTTTAATATCATTTGGAGCAGAAATGTGTGTAGATATGCAGCATCTTAAGTCATGAACACTGAAGTTGCACTTATCTAAGTGCTATGTTTGGAAAAGTGGCGCGCTGGAAGTTTGGGGCATGGTAGTGGCCAAAGTTAAGAGTGTCAGCACTGGTTGTTCTTGTTTTAACAAGTTCTGTGCAGCAATGTGAAAATACATAACGCTTCTGAACTGTACACCTGGAAAAGTTAAGATGGTTTTAAAACCACTGTTATATGTTTTTAACGCAGTTCAGGTTTTTTTTTTTTTTTTTTTGTCAATGATACCTCAAGCTGCTTCTTTTTTCTCAAAAAGAAGAAAAAGAAGACCTGATCCGGACTGTGCCTAATAGGTCTGCTGGCTGGTGTGGGCTGTGAGTTCAGACTGACGCTAAATGCAGCGGGGTGACGGTGCCACAGGATGGGGCTGGAGCGACCCCGGCCGGACTGGAGCGCCGGAGTCGGCTAAGGATGAGCGCGGGGAGGCGCTTCTCCAGGCTGCCTAGTCAGGACAACTATTTTTTATTTTTAAAAGTTCACAAAACGCTTCTAATCATTACCCAAAATAGGGTGCGACATTCACTTACGGCCTCTCACTTTGCTTATTTTCGTTTGGAGATCCGTTGAGGCACTGCCTCGGCCCGAGCCAGGCACCTTCGAAGACAGCCCTGCCCGCCAGGACCCCGGCTCCAGGCCGCTATAAATAGCCGGGCCCCGCCTTCGCCGTTCTCTTTGTGCGGCGCGCGGCGCGCGGTGGGTGGTGGGTGTCTGGGCTCTGCTGTGTTGCCGCTGTTCGCTGGGGGCTCCTTCCCCTAAACGCGAGGGGAAGATGGCGGGCTCCCCAGCGCCCTGCGCCTTCTTCGCGCATTTGCCGCTGTGCAGGTATTTTGGGGCCCCGCTAGGTGGGGGGACCTCGGTCTCGGGCTGCGGAGGATGAATACTATTACAGACTAGAGTTTCTGATGTCTCCATGACGCCGCTATTTGGAACTGACCCAGCCCAGGACAGGGGGAACTCAGCTGGAGTCGCCCTAACTCAGCTAATTAACTGTTCCCCTCTACCCGTGCCCCAGGTGCCTGATCCACGCGGGCCGATCCGTAGCACCACGAGGGTGAGTAGTCTGTGCGAGACAGAGTGGCTGGCGGACGCCTTGGGGGAGCGTGAAGGTCATGATGACCCCAGGTGACTCTGAGTGTCTCGTTGACGCCATCACCGCAGCGCGCTGACCACCTCCCTCCCCCGAGCTGGGATACCTGGTGCCTGAGCGTGGGGAGAAGTTGGTGCGGACCATCTTATTAATCACGTGTCCCTGTCATTTCCCTAAGGTGTACAAGACGACCCCCAGTGTGTGGAACTTGAATAAAGGTCAGTGTACATGTGAGCGTATTGAACGTGTAGCCTATGGAAATCAAGGGCCTCTGTGGAGCCTGCTTGCTTTCTATAAACACGTGCAGCAGTGCGATTAGTTCACCTCATGATTTTTCAAAAACCATTTTGTGGATTAAATTTGTGGTTATTACTTTTTAAACGTTTACAGTTCCTTGTCTTAAGCATTTGAAACCTGCCTCCACCACCCCCTTTCCTCCTGTAAGCTGTCCTATATGCTGGGCTTTCCCTTTGGAACTTTCTCTGCAGTTGTGAATTTATTTGCTATATTTAGTCTCCCAAATTTACTTCATCTGAATACCTCCTTGGTCAAATCCACATACTAGATAACTGTTTTTGAATATATGGCTGCCCTTGATCCAGATCTCCAAATGGGAATGATGATTTCTCAGACTAGAGTCTCTGACACTGGTCCTGATGTCAAACATTAAGTACTGACTTGTTTGGGAACTGGATACTTGGGCCTCTAAGGGCTATTAGAAGCCTGTGAGTCTGTTTGTACATCTCATTGATTATCCAGTTTTCTCTCTACAGCTTGAGCCCCAGGGACTGAGCCCCTGGACAGATCTGGCCCTGAACTGATGACTGAAGGCCTGAGGTTTGGAGTCTCCTGTTTTGGAGAAGTGCTGGGGAGGTGACTTGCTTGCCTAACCTTCCTGTTTACATACTGAGATGAGGAAAAAGCCATGTGCCTACTGTAACCACTGTGGTGAGTGCTGGTGTTTCTTCCAACTTCAGTAGTAATGATGTGTTTTGAAATAGAACCACAACGTTTCAGAAGACTGCCAGATACACACTTAGGCCAGGCCTTCTATCCTTTATGGCAGTTCCCATCCCCTCCCAGCTTTATGTTTGTTTTTGCTTAGGTAAACTGGGCTATGGGCCAGAGGTGGGGATGAGGGATGAGGAGACCCACCACAGTGAATTAGAACAGGTGGATTTACTGAAATACACTGCAAAAAGGAGTGTGTGGGCAGCACAGGGAGAGTGGTTTGCTGCATCATATGTGGGTTAGCACCCTGGTTGAGGATTTAACCCATGTAGTAGAGGTGATAGTGTGCCCCTAGCCACCAGGAAGGCACATCCAAGTGGCCTGCATTTTTTTTTTTTTTTTTTGATTTATTTGTGCATCCAGAACTGGGGTATAGGCCAGAGGTACAGGGGCTGTGAGAGTTATCACTAGAGAGAGTGGGGAGCAGAACAGGCAGATTGGCAAAGTACACTGCTGGGGGGTAGCAGCGGGTGAGATAGGAGAGATCTGCTGTGGCGTGGCCTGCATGTTTCTAATACATATTTCTTTCATAAAATTGCAGGATTTTGCTGGCAAAATGAATGTCCTCTATTTGGTGATGTGGGCAGACCCTTGGAACTTGTGTCTTTCCTGCATTTTGTGAGCAGCTATCAGATTTGAGGCATTGAAGATTGTTATTAAGATCAGTGAGACAGCTTTCAGTTAAGTACTTTGTTGTATCTAAAGGATTTCAATAAAATATTTTAAGGTGAAAGTTTGGTCTGGTTGAAAGGTACGAAAGGGGTAAGGGGAGGTGAAGGATAACCACCAGTAAATGAACATCACGATTGACATGGGTATGCTTTGTGGCTGTGGGCAAAATATGAATGACTTTGTATCACACTGATAAGCTGTTAGAGAGTCCCAAATTGTATTTGTAAATTCCAACATGCTAGATGTTACTATCATAGTCATAGCTGGTTTGGGTAGACCTGACCCTTATTCTGACCCATTGCCACTTAGAATGTGCTTACTTTTGATCCTATTCCTTTCTCTGAAATTTATAAATTCTCTTTATGGGGTGCCAGATCAGGATGGCAATCTTAGGTCTCCTCATTCACAGGTGATCCTGCTAATTAGTTTTCCCTCCCTAGTGATCTGAGTCCTTGTCTGTTAACCCATTCAACAACTGCACATAAGATCGTTTTACATGGTTTTCAACCTGTCCCAAAACCAGAGTCCTATGTTTCTTCCGCTGGACGAGACAGAATTTCATACCATACCTATAGTTAGAAACTAACTGCAGGTTCCTATCATAACAGGAAATAGCTACTGGGATGGGGAAGACTGATAGGAAACTTCATGAAAATGTTACCGTTTTCCAGGGTTGAACCAATTGCCATCCATTTCCACTAGCTTAGTTTATCCCCAGCTTGTATATCCCAGAGCTCTGTCTGGGATATCAGCCCATTGGTATTGTAAAGGGAATTACAGACCCCAAAATCAAAGGAATTCCAACCAAGACTATAAGCCTATACAGCACAAGTGTATTTCTTGTTTTCATAGCCAATAAGGTTTATGATACCTTTGTTCTCAAGCCTTATCAGCTTTGACCAAAGGCCCTCATCGAGGGGCAGCCAGGTCTGTCTTTCTGATATCCAGCAGGGGGAGCAGTGGATAGGATGGCCTGGGGCTTATTCATCAGCTGCAGTCACTGCTCTGGTGCTTGGGAGGGTTGGAGAGGATGGGAAGTTGTGTGTTTAATGAGTCTAGTTACAACTTTACAAGATGAGAAAGCTGTGATTGTTGTACAACACTAACACCGTTGAAGCTTTAAAAAAATGGTTAAGAGTAAATTTCTAGAGGGGTGGAAGGGGGGGTAGTGAGAGTGTTCACCTGAGAGTGGGGAGCAGATTGAGATACACTTGATGAAGGAAGTAGCTAAAGGTCTGCTGTTCTGGGGGGTTGAACTCACACAGCAGTGGCTGCCGAAAACTTCATAGTGCTGAGACTTAGCAAGGAGCCTTTCCTTTGTGTCATAGTCTCCAAAGCTGCTACCTAACTAGAGCTCTGGCTTTGTTGCTATAAGCCTGTGCTATAATTTACCCAGTGACTGCTAGGGGCGATTAGGATCCTCCTGTCAGTGCTGACTCCCTGTTCTTTGCATCTATTTGAAGTAGCAGACACTTGGAAAAGATCAGGGATTTGGGCCTTCACAGCATGATGCACAGTTTATACTCATCACCACTGCGTGGTCATACTTCTAGGTGGGTCTACTGAGATACACTGCTGAGGGGGTGGGGGCAGCTGGTGAGATAGGAGAGGTCTGCGATGCCATGTGGCTCACCTCCCTGACCTGGGTCAAACTCAAGCTGTAGTGGCTAGTGATAGCTTGATAGTGCTGAGATTAACCCCTGTGCCACCAGGGAGGCCCATTGTTTTTAAGGTGTACCAAACAGGTATACCAGTTATTACCTTGGTGTTTTTTAATCAAGCAGAGTTCATGTCTCATTGTATTGTCATTTTTAAAGATTTATGCATATAAGAGCTGGGGTAGAGGCCAGAAGTGCAGGGGGTGAGGATTCACCAAAGACAGTGGGGAACAGAACTGGCAGACTGAAATTCACTGCTGAGGGGAGCTGCCAGTGAGACAGGAGAGGTCTGCTGGGTCAGCTCCCCAGCTGGGGATCTTCCCAGTGCTGTGCTTTAACCCATTGTGCAGCCAGGGAGAGCCCTATATTGTCATTTTTATGTATTACTAGGTAGGTGCTACAATATTACCGTAACCCTAACATAAAACTGCTTGTTCCCCCTTGTATAGTGTCTTCAGCTGAGTTTTTGCTAGGTTATGAAAAGTCCCCACCACATAGTGAAAAGTTTTTCCAACCTCTAATCACCTTTGTGAGGTTTGTTAGATTTGTAAGGTTTGTTTCTACTTCAAGTGGCCCTGTTTGGTACTCCTTTATTGCTTCTCTAGTCCCATTTTTTGTGATGTCTTATAATAAAATAACTGCTTTCTTCCTGAATTAGTACACTGAAAATGATAATGTCCACTTGTTAGTGTGTGTGGGTTTTTAATCATCTGCTCTCAAGTGTCCAGTATTTTGACTAGCTTTACTATTAGTCGAACTCCTTCCACTTTGCATAAATGGCAACATTTCGTCTTAAGGCTGAGTTAGTAGTTCATAGTGGAAAATAACCTTTCTTGTTGATCCCATCCTCTTATCAGTGGGCAGGTAAGTTGTTGCCATGTCCTAGCCATTGTAAACAAAACTGCAATAAAGTAGAGCATAAAACTGTGTGCTGGTTTCTGGTTCTGGGCCCTAGGGCGTTTCCATCTGTAGTTTTTCTTGGTAATTCCAGATCACTTTAGAAAACTGCAACCTGTACTTTGTCGATCTGCCCGTTCTGCTCCCCACTCTGTCTCTGGTGAATTCTCTCACCACCCCTGCACCTCTGGCCTCTACCCCAGTTCTGTATGCATAAATAAATAAATCTTTAAAAACAAAACAAGATGCTGCACCAATTTTCACTCTCTCCTACTGTGTCACGGGGCCTTGTTTCTCTGCATCCTCTCCAGCACTTATTCAGGGTCTTCTTTAATATGTGCCATTCTCATGAGGGTGATTTTAAGTGCAAAAAGTAGCATGAATGCTGTATTCTACATCTGTTTTAAACTTTTTCAGATTGGTCTCCCTCACTTGATAAAAAATTTTTCCCTACCTCAGCGTAATGACCTTTGTTGTCTTTGTTTCTCCTTCAGATAGAGCCCTGCTTGGTACCTGAGGGCGCTCTGCCCCTCAGCCACTGGCCCAAATCTTTAGGATTAGCCCTGTTGAAGAGGAATTTGTTCTCTAAATAGGGATTAAAATAGATAATAGGCCTCATTAAAGTAATTAAAACCTGGGTCCTCCCTGGTGGCGCAAGGGGTTAAAGCACAGCACAGTGAAGCCATCTGTCCCCACCCAGGGAGCTGACCCACAGGGCGCAGCAGACCTTCCTGTCTCACCCGCTGCTTCCCCTCAGCAGTGTATTTTGGCCAATCTGCCTGTTCTGCTCCCCACTCTTATCTCTGTATCCTCTCACCCCCCACCTCTGGCCTGTAACTCAGTTCTTGTATGCATAATTAAATCTTTAAAAGAAATTAAAATCCTTCACTTGACTCCCTGTTCTTAAGACAGGACCCAAATTAGCCTGTTACCTGGTTACTTTTGCAGAAGCTGTTGGGGTAGGGGTAGGGACAGGGGCAAGGGGGAGTTTTACTCTGGGTTTCTATTTCTTTGGTGGAAGGCCCAAGCACATAATTGTCAGGCATTATCCTGCATCAAAGCAGCCACCATGTAGTTAGTGCTTTATGTCTGTCCTGGACTTTTTACACCTTTATTGAATGCTAAAAAAAAAACTTGTGAAATATTTACCTACCTTACTTTATACAGGATGGATTGTTAAATAATCTGCTCAAGGTCAGAGGAACAGGAAGTCAGGATTTATATTCCTTTGCCTGCTGTGTACCCAGTTAGAACATGACCCACAGCTGAAGCCAACCTGCTTTTGATTTGGGTACCCTTTTCCTTCAGAGGGAGCCACCCTATTGAATTGTGGCAGTATCACTCCCTGAGTTTACAGCTTGCTCTGAAGGCATCCCTGAACAATACATTGTTTGCTTTTGTGTTTTCTGAACTTTATAAAAATGAAATAGTTATTCATGTGGTTCTATTGCAACTTAGCAAGGTTTTTGCTTTTATTCCCCCATGTATTTTCCTGTAGTTATATGGATGTTGCTAAAAATCAACCTGCCTTTTTGAAATAAAAATGGAGCAATCAGGCCCTCCCTGGTTGCCCAGCAGCTTAAAGCACGGCACAAAGCAGCCACTTCAGCATGAGTTCGATCCCCGGCCAGGGAGCTGACCCAGATGGCACAGCAGACCTCGCCTATCTCACCCGCTGCTCCCCTCAGCATTTCAGTAGATCTGCATTTCAGTAGATTTGCCTGTTCTGCTCCCCACTCTGTCTCTGGTGAATCCTTTCACTGCCCCTGTACCTCTGGCTTGTACCTCAGTTCTGTATGCATAAAAAAAATCTTTTTAAAAGTAATAAATCTTTTTAAAAGGTGGAACAGGCAATATGCAGTAAACTGAAAAGTTATCTTCCAAAAGCAAGAAAGAATTTACTGCTTCAGAACTGAATTTTTTGGAATGTGTTAGGAATGGTTGCTATACCAACAACAAAAAGGTTAAGTACAAAATGTGTATAACAACATGCTTTTAAAGACTTTTTAGTTGAACTTTCTTTCCCTTAAATGTTCCTGAGAGTGCTTAGCTTCTAGCCCATCTGGAGATCGGACTAGACAATAGAGATTTATTACTTATGCATACAAGTTCTGGGCTACAGGCCAGATGAGTGGGGGGAGTGAGAGGATTCACCAGAGACAGGGTGGGGAGTAGAACAGGCAACTCTATTAAAGTACACTGCTGAGGGGAGCAGTGGGCGGGCCAAGAGAGGTCTGCTGAGTCATGTCGGTCAGCTCCCTGGCTGGGCGTAAAACTTGTGCGGCAGTGGCTGTGGATAGCTTACAGTGCTGTGCTTTAATATCCTTGAAACAGAGAGGGCCCCCAAGTGGAGTTTCTGGGGAAGGCAGAAGGGCAGGGGTGGGAGGGGTGCTAAAGGAGAAAGACACCTTCCAGGTAAGTCAGCCTTCTGTTTAAAAATCAGGCTGGCCTCAGCTGGAGTCTGAGTCAAATGTCTTCCTAGTTGGCTACTGATAAATTGGCAAACTCAGTGGGGGG